TGCAGTAAGAGTTTGTTTCAGGAGCGTGAGTGAGGTACCGGGTCGTGGTGGTCGGAGAAGTTCTCATCTCCTCGTCGTTGGATAAAGGTGTCGGGGCGGCGTAATGGAATGTTGTCCGCGGGATGATCATTTCTCATTACCGACACCGCAATCGAATCCCACTGATCCTCGTGTGTGTGTGTGTGTGTTGTGTGTGTGTGGAGTAAATTACGTGTAAACAACAACAGTTTGCGTGGACGTAAAGTGAATCCCCAATGATCGTTAACACTGTAGGCCATGTGAGTGCATAGAGGAGACTAGTGGAGTGTGTCTTTGTTGTACCGAGTGTGATATACCAAGTGTATTGTACCAAATATACCTTTGTTCCGTAGTAGGTATAATGATAGAGTCACTTTACAGACGCATATAAACACTATAATCACACTCTAAAAGTATAATACGGTATCAATCTCCCACCTTACTCTGTACTGTAAATACATCTCACTGAGGACCAACAAGTATCAATTAAATAAAGTTCTATAATTAATTTAACTACTTAGTATAACGATTCATTTACTTAAACTTAACCCAAATTGTCCGTCTGTCCGTAGAATGACCGTAAATGTACTTAATCCGGTCGTCCGTATCTCAGGTTGTAGTCACCAGCTATCACTATAGATCGGTTGAACTCCGAGGCGAGGAAAGTCTCGGAGGACTGATGTGCCGACACACTGATGACAGCTGTTAGGAGGTTGGTGGAGGGTGAGGAGGGAGTATAAGGTGTGTGGAGGAGGTGTAGGGTGAGGAGGAGGTGTAGGGTGAGGAGTAGGTGTAGAGTGAGGAGGAGATGTAGGTTAAGGAGTAGGTAGGGTGAGGAGCAGGTGGAGAGGTGTGGGAGGGGAGGTAGGGGTGAGGGAGGAGGTGTAGGGGTGAGGAGGGAGGTGTAGGGGTGAGGAGGAGGTAGGGGTGAGGGGAGGATGTTGTAGAGTGAGGAGGAGGTGTGTAGGTAGGAGAAGGTAGGGTGAGGAGGAGGTGGGAGGAGGAGGAGGTGTAGGTTAAGGAGGAGTTGTAGGTGAGGAGCAGGTGTAGGGTGAGGATGGGGTGTAGGGGTGGAGAGAAGGTAGGGATGAGGAGGAGGTGGGGGAGGAGGAGGTAGGGGTGAGGAGGAGGTGTAGGGGTGAGGAGGGGTGTAGGGGTGAGGATGGGGTGGTGGATGAGGAGGTAGGGGTGAGGAGGAGGTGTAGGGGTGAGGGAGGGGGAGGAGGAGGAGGTGTAGGTTAAGGAGTAGGTGTAGGGTGAGGGGAGGAGGGGTGGGGTGAGGAGAAGGTGGGAAGAGGAGGAGGTGGGGTGAGAGGAGGTGTAGGGGTGAGGAGGAGGTGTAGGGTGAGGAGGAGGGGAGGGGAGGAGGTAGGTTAAGGAGTAGTAGGGAGGGAGGAGCAGTTGTAGGGTGAGGATGGGGTGTAGGGAGGAGGGAGAATGTAGGATGAGAGAGGTGTAGGGGTGAGGAGTAGGGGTGAGGATGGGGAGAGAGAGAGGGGTGAGGAGGAGGTAGGGTGAGGAGGAGGTGGGGGTGAGAATTGGGTGTAGGGGTGAGGAGGTGTAGGGTGGAGGAGGAGGTGAAGGTGAGGAGGGAGGTGTAGGGGTGAGGAGGAGGTGTAGGGGTGGGGAGGAGCAGGTGTAGGGGTGAGGAGAAGGTGTAGGGTGAGGAGGAGGTAGGGTGAGGAGGAGGTGTAGGGTGAGGAGAAGTGTAGGTTGAGGAGAGGTGTAGGTGAGGAGGAGGTGTAGAGGAGGAGGTGTAGGTGAGGATGGGTGATGGTGAGGAGAAGGTGAAGGGTGGAGGAGGTGTAGGGGTGAGGGTGGGGTGTAGAAAGGGGAAGGGGGAGTAGTTAGGGTGAGGAGAGGGGAGGGGTGAGGATGGGGTGCATGGTGAGGAAGGTGAAGGTGAGGAGAGGAGGTAGGGGGAGGGGTGGGGTGTGGGTGTGAGGAGAAGGTGAAGGGTGAGAGGAGAGGGGTGGGGAGGAGAATGTGAGTGGGGAGGAGGTAGGGTGAGGATGGGGTTGTAGGAAGGTGAAGGTGAGGGAGGTGAAAGGGAGGAGGAGGTGGAGTGGAGGAGGGAGGTGTAGAGGAGGAGGAGGTGAGGGGTGAGGAGGGGGGTGTAGGGGTGAGGAGAAGGTGTAGGGGTGAGAGGATGGGGGGAGGAGGTGTAGAGGGGGAGGCAGGAGGGGGGTAGAGGAGAAGGAAGGGTGAGGAGGAGGTGTAGGGTGAGAATTAAAGAGTGGTGGGGGGGTGAGGAGGGGGTAGGGTGAGAGGGGTGTAGGGGTGGAGAGGGGGTGTAGGGTGAGAATTGGGGTGGAGAGGTGTAGGGGTAGAATTGGGTAAGGGGAGGAGGTGTAGGGGTGAGGAGGAGGGAGAGGTGGGGAGGTGGGGAAGGTGGGAGGTGTAGGGTGAGGAGGAGGTGGAGTGAGAATTGGGTGGGAGGAGGGGGGTGGGGGTGAGGAGAAGGTGTAGGGTGAGGATGGGGGAAGGAGGAGGAGGTAGGGGTGAGGAGGGAGGTGTGTAGGGGTGAGAATGGGGTAGAGGAGGAGAGGAGGGGAGGAGGGGGTGGGAGGGTGAGGAGGAGGTGTAGGGGTGAGGAGGAGGTGTAGGTGTGGAGGAGGAGGTGTAGGGTGAGGAGGGGGTGTGGGGTGAGGAGGAGGTGTAGGGGTGAGGCAGAGGTGTGGAAAGAGTGGGTGTAAGGTGAGGGAGGTAGGGTGAGGAGGTGAAGGAGGGGTGGGGTGAGGAGGGGTGTAGGTGAGGAGGGTGTAGGGGTGAGAATTGGGGCAGAGGAGGGGTGTAGGGTGAGGAGGAGGTGGAGGTGAGAATGGGTGGGGAGAGGAGGGGGGTAGGGGTGAGGAGAAGGTGTAGGGGTGGGGAGGAGGTAGGGGTGAAATTGGGTGGTGAGGATGGGGGGGGGGATGAGGAGGAGAAGGGGGGTGAGGAGGAGGTAGGGTGGGAGAGGGGGCAGAGAATGGTGTAGGGGTGAGAGGGAGGTGGGAGTGAGAATGGGTGTAGGGGTGAGGAGGGGGTGTAGGGCGAGGGGGGTGTAGGGTGAGGATGGGGTAGGGTGAGGGAGGAGGTGTAGGGGTGAGGAGGGGTGTAGAGGAGGAGAAGGTGGGGTGAGGAGGGGTGAGGAGGGAGGTGTGAGGAGGAGAGGGGTGAGGATGGGGGTAGGTGAGGAGGAGGTGTAGGGTGAGGAGGAGGTGTAGGGTGAGGGAAGGGTGTAGAGGAGGGGAGGGAGGGAGAGGAGGGGTGGAGGAGGGAGGAGGTGTAGGGGTGAGGAGGAGTGTAGGGTGAGGAGGAGGTGTAGGGTGAGGGAGGAGTAGGGGTGGAGAGGAGGTGAGGGGTGAGGGAGTAGGGGTGAGATTGGGGGAAGGTGAGGAGGGGTGTAGGGTGAGGAGGAGGGGTAGGGTGAGAGTTGGGTGTAAGGTGAGGAGGGGGTAGGGGAGGGAGGAGGTGTAGGTGAGAATTGGGTGTAAGGTGAGGAGGGGGGTGTAGGGGGAGAGGAGGGTAGGAGAATTGGGTGGCAGAGGAGGGGTGTAGGGGTGAGGAGGAGGTGTAGGGTGAGAATTGAAGGTGAGGGAGGGGGTGAGGGGTGAGGAGAAGGGGTAGGGTGAGAGGAGGTGTAGGGTGAAAATTGGGTAGGGGTGAGGAGGGGTGTAAGAGGAGGAGAAGGTAAGAGGAGGAGTGTAGGGGGTGAGAGGGTGGGGTGAGTGGGTGTGGGAGGAGGAGGTGTGGTGAGAATTGGGTGTAGGGTGAGGAGGGGTGTGGGCGAGGAGGGGGGGTGAGAGGATGGGTGCAGGGTGAGGAGGAGGTGAGGAGGAGGTGAGGAGGAGAAGTGTAGGTGAGGAGGTGTAGGGTGGAGGAGGTGTAGGTTGAGAGGAGGTGTAGGTGAGGATGGGGGAAGGTGAGGAGGAGGTGTAGGTGAGGAGGAGGTGTAGGGGTGAGAATGGGTGGAGGAGAGAGGAAGGAGGAGGGGTGGAGGGTGAGGAGGAGGTGAGGTGAGGAGGAGGTAGGGT